TCATACCAGAAGGCAAATGACAAACGTGTCTGGATGTGGTTGTATATATGTAAAAGGCGCTTTATATACGTTGATAGGGGGTGTGGGATAGAATTAGCTCCAAGTGATGCATCCTGGGCAACGTATATTCATACGGCCCTGGGCAACGTATACTCATACGGCAAAAAAGTCTATTAATCGGCAGTTGACATCCCTGGGCAACGTATACTCATACGGCAAAAAAGTCTATTAATCGGCAGTTGACATCCCATACGGCTACCTCCACGTGGTGCACCCTGGGCAACGTGTACTTACAACCTCCATGTGGTGCACCCTGGGCAACGTATACTTATGCGGAAAAAAGTCTATTGACTGGTAGTTGACTTCTCACTTCAAACTACCATCACCCCACTGTATAGTTGACCACTGACTTCAAACTACCATGACCCCACTGTATGCCTTGACTTCTGACTTCAAACTACCATGACCCCACTGTATGTTACAAAGTATACTCATACGGCAAAAAGTCTATAAACCGGCAGTGGACTTCTGACTTCAAACTACCCTCACCCCACTATATGTCACAACTTCTCACTTCAAACTACCATCACCCCACTGTATGTCATTGTGTATGCGCATACGGCAAAAAAGTCTATAAACCGGCAGTTGATCTAACCCTAACACGGCAAAAAGTCTATAAACCGGCAGTTGACCTCTGACTTCAAACTACCATGACCCCACTGTATGTCATATTTGGGCAACAGACCTCATACGGCAAAAAGTCTATAAACCGCTGGGCAACGTATACTCATACGGCAAAAAAGTCTATTAACTAGTGAGATGGGTGTGCGATAGACTTACCTCCACGTGGTGCACTATGGGCAACGTATACTCATACGGCAAAAAAGTCTATTAACCTGCAGTTGACTTCTGACTTCAAACTACCACGACCCCCAAACAGTTGACTTCTGACTTCAAACTACCATCACCCCACTGTATGTCATATTCGACCACTTTCACAGTACTCACCTCACCTTTTTTCCATCTTTGTGTCTGTCTCTTTAACATCCTTGAAACACTCTTCTGTCCCCCCACCCGCCCACTCGACTTTTTTCACTTTGATGTTCCTTCCCCTCTGTGAAGCCTGAAGCCACCTAAAGAGCTAATGAAAACAATCAAAACGCCTGCCATTTGACAAAATATACGCTGATAGAGAAGGAGAAGAAAAGTCAAGTTAAATGATTCTGGACATTGCTGAGCAAGAAAACAGAACCTTAATAACGCTCATGCAAGGACTGCGTAAGCTAATTAGATTATTCACTTGAGGACACACGATAGTTCTCAATGGAAATTCAAGATGACCGCACATCTTAATAGGATGTAGGTGATGTTTCATTTCAAAAGTGCAAGCCTTCAAACAGCTCACCACTGATTAAATAACCGTTTACAATTACCGTGCAGAAGTTTAATTTTAACCGAGAGGTTCCATCTCAAGAATGTCAAATACTTCTTTTGACTATCGTGTACTTTAATTTTCGCGGTTGTGTATGCGAAAGGTGAGAAAAGTGGACTCAAGAGTGATCGACAATCTTCACGAATTCAAGTGGAATTGGCGAGTCACTTTCTACACTAAATTTTCCAACAAATAAATAAGCTAAGTTCAATAATTCGGTACTTTTAGCTCAAAGCTAAGACACATTAACGATAAATAGCAAAATGAGAGCGCAGTACAAAAGCTGTTCTCACTAATAGATAAATCCTCATTACCTACTTAAAGTTGAACTTATTTCAATTTGTTCTCCCTCCACCTCCCTCCCCTCCCCCCTAAATACCACCGAGAATGGAATTACGAATCTTCCATTTTTTCACCTAAGCTCTAAATGGCATTTAAAGCTACTTATTTCGAGATGTATTTGATTCTACTTATAATACTCGGAATTGTTGCAGAAAATTGCAATGCCCTAAAATTTAAGCAGGGGAGAGAGGTGGGGGGGGGGAGGGGGGAGGGGGAGAGAGGAGCGAAGCGGAGTGAGGAAATATCGTCATTCTAATCGCCACATCGGACTGTTTTATAGACAGTTATGCATAAACGCGAAGTTTTATTAGGAACAATGAACACGTCTAGATATTAATGATAATTTGGGGTGAAACGCAGTCAGCGAAAAGGAGGAGATGCAAATCCAATAGCACTGATAGTAATAATTCATACGCAAAATAAAAAGCATGCGCTTCTTAATGACTCCAAAGTTGAATAGTTGCATAGTGGAAGAAATTGAAGAAAAGCATAATAGCATAGCTGTCAATGGTTTATGGGTGCTACCGTCTCGTGTACTAGGTCGATAATCGCCAAACGAAGTACTTTCAACCGCTTTAAGCTAAACCAATTGAATTAGCTCTGGAACTCAAAAGATGGGAGTGAAGTCAACATTCAACCTTTCAAGCAAGGTCAATTCCAAATACGTATTCCACTTATTTTGAGTTCTTGAAATGTTTGAACACAAATTCACAGACAATTGTCCTTGAAATGTAGTTACCCAACGCTGAGATCCAATCCAGGGGAAAGCGCTAAGCCATGTCGAGAATTGAAGGAAAGAATTTGAGTCCTGCATAAATTTGCTTTTAAGATTCTAATTTTCAAATTTCATCTCCTCTTCCAACATTGTAAATGCAATTTTGGAAGGTCTACATCCTTCATACCTCCCCCCCCCCCAACATACTCATTGCATCGAATTGACTAACGTTTGACTTACACCCCTCCCCCTTTAAAACACCTCAAAGATGGAACCTACACCGCCTCACCTCGTATGATCTGCGAATTATTAAAATTCAAAGTCAATTTAAAATGTCCCAAAGATTACTCCTAAGTCCAAAATTATGAAAATAGTAAATGCATACGTACCATTGCTGTCCTTTTCCACTTTGTCGGCAGGGAAGAATTGGCCAGTGATGGGGTTCTTGTAAGTAATTCCCAAAACAAGACCAACTGGAAGGAACTTCTTGAATGGTTCGCGACATGGTAAAAGACCCAGTTCCTTGTGCAAGAAGTGGGCAATGAAACGGGCGTAGAATAAGTGGCGGATAGCTAAGAAATAATAGCAATTGTGATAAAAGCACATTTCAGCAAACATGACTTTGCCTGCCTGTCTGTAGTGAACTTACCGTGTTCAATACCACCAACATAGATATCCACCGGCATATGCTTGTGAGCATTAGACCGAGAACATAGCTCTTTATCATTCTTTGGGTCGAGAAAACGAAGATAATACCAAGCAGAGTCCACAAATGTATCTAAAGTATCAGTCTCCCTTTCAGCTGGTCCTTCACAGCTACAAAAAAAGAATAACAAAACGCAGGTTCAAAATTCAGTGCTTTCATTTAGTAGGACACGATAGTGACACATTACTGTGCACTCAATTTTTTTTGTCAGGGGTGCGCGATAGACTTACCTCCACGTGGTGCACCCTGGGCAACGTATACTCATACGGCAAAAAGTCTATTAACCGGCAGCTGACTTCTCACTTCAAACTACCATGACCCCACTGTATGTCATATTACACAGCTTCCACAGTACTCATCTCACCTTTTCTCTGCCTTTGCGTCTGTTTGTCTCCTCTACATCTGTGGATAACTCTTCTGTTCCCCCTCTCGAATTTTTCTCACTTTGATTTTCCTCCCTCTGCGAAGCCCAAGGTCAGATAAATGGCTAATGATAAATATTCAAAACGCCTGCCATTTGAAATATTAATAATAATAATAATAATAATTTTTTTGTCAAAATTAAGCGGAAAGAAAACTTAGTAGACGTTAGACGTGTTGACTACAAACGATATTACGTTTGCTTTAGTATTTTAAAGTAAACACTGGCCGTTGTTATTGCATTAGTGATAGCTTTAAAAACAGGAGGTAAGGAGTTTTCAAACACTAATTAACACTGAAGCCAATCTCTCCTGTTCAAGTAAGCTCCTCCACCCCACCCCACCCCACCCCCCTCCTCCACCCTTCTAACTGTCTCTTGATATATGCAATGCTTTAAGACCGAGTTTAGAAGACAATTTGCCTTAAATAGGTCTTCATTTTAAGTTGATTCTAAGTTAGCCAACCACATTATCCTTTGAGTGTGAAGAATTTGAAAGGAAGTCAGTTTCAGAATTAACTTAGTTATCTGAAAATGACTAATTAACGTTTAGCCGGAGTAAATATACAATGGGATCCAAAACGTGGTCCCACGTACGCAACTATTGCTCACAATCGCGATTACAATTATCGATCAAGAAATTGGTGTTTACACACTGATTGGATCGATTCCCTAGTCCACTTGTTGGTTTTTCAGACTGAAAGCAAGTGTGAAGCAAAAAACGTATAAGTTATCGCGTACAGAAAGCTCGTTTATTTAGTAAATCCTTTTGTCTTTTCGAGTGGTACTATTTTAAGCGTAGTTGTGCAAAATAGAAAGCCAAAACTAAGTTGGCACTCGGTTAAACAGACTTTTAAAGCGATAGCATGAGAAAAAAGGAGCTAAAAGCTTACTTAGGGCACGTAGTATACATCCATTCTTTATTTTCCTTAAGAGGCACATCTCCACGCTTAAGGGTTCCCATCAAAGGAGGGAGTTTGACGGGTAAATCTTCCTCTGGAACAGGAACAGTCTAGGTAGAAAATAGAAAGCGGTAAACCCCACTTTAGTTCACAATTATCTTGCCAAACTATGTTCAAAAACATCAACAGGTCAAGCTCAGGGTTATTTACAGAAAGATGACATAACACAAAATGAAGCATTTTCGGAGAAAACGATAAACAGACTTCCCTGTCAGCCAGAGTAAAGCTCAATTTACAACTACTTTAGAATCTTACAAAATGAAAAAGGTTTGGTTTTTTAAATGGTACTTAATAGATGATAATGAAACAAAAATAGAATGTAAGTTGCCTTCCTATTAAGAGTAGAATTTTTTATTATGAGGCATTAAAGTACCATATAATATTTTCTTTAAAAAGGTCAAAAATTTGGTCACTTTAGACCTAGCCATTCTGCGAACGTTGAGACGCTATCACTTAAGGAATCAAATGTGAGACGCGTTTAAAAAATGATCAAATTACTTTAACTATAAAATTTCGGAAAGCTATGAAACTTTAGGTGGATCGCAAATTGAGATTACTGAGGTGGTGTAAATAGACCAAGGTGACGAACAGAACTAGGTCGAAGTTACTCAAGAACTCTACTCCAAAAAATTTTAAGGGGCTGTGAATTCCGCCAATAAAATCCCACGGCATATACGTATAAAAAAATGTGGTGTTCACAAATTTATTGTATTACTGGATCAGTAAGTCGCATTAATCAATATCAGCTTTTTTGAATAAGTTTTAGCGCAGAAGGTGGTTAACATATTCACTTATCTGAATGCCATCTTTAAGTTGGAACTGAAGTCAAGGTGGTATTTTAGAAACAAATAAGACTACCTATCGGGAATTTAAATGCAAAATAATAATGGCCAACGGCATAGGGGACTATTTGCTAGACTTGCCTCATGAAGTTCATGGCAAAAGATGCTTTGCGTATATTTCTCTGTTCTATTTTCGTCCAATCCTATAAAACAATTTTTAAATTGATGAGGCATGGGAATTTTCTATGCGCATTATCTACTAAATCAACGGCATTTATTATGTGTGCATTAAAAAGGCCTTTATCAGTATCTACACCCTGTCTCCAATGGATTATTTGGCCATTGAATGACTAACCAATAAGAACAATACAGCTAATTGATTGGGCAAAAATAGCAAACCCCAAAGAAATTGATAGCGGACTTAATTAACGGTAAGTCTAACAGCAATTTTCAGAATTGCTCGGCAAAAGAAATACATGCAAACTTAAGTAAGGGAACACGCAAGCAAATAATATTGAACATTTTTACAAAATTTACTCAGTTCAACTCACCCCGCACTTTGGACAGTGAATAAGAGGAATTGGTGTAGCCCAATAACGTTGCCTTGAAACTGACCAATCCTTTTTATGCTGACTGCTACGATAAAGCCTATAGTCAGAAATCTATAAAAGCATACACAATGTGTTAGTACCAAGGTGAACTTTGAGAATTTCGAGATGTGATTAGTAGAGGAGTGGTGGAATTTACCTTTAATTTTTCGATTGCTAGTGTGTTCGCCTCCTTCAGCCTGAGTCCATTAAACTGGAAAAGAGACAGAGAGGGGGGAGGGAGAAAAGGAGGGTGGTCAATTAATTAGAAGAGATGCGAGTTGGAGGGAGAAAACGACTAAATCGGAAAACGCAACAAAAAAAGACGATGCGCGCTTAACTTAATTTCTTAATATTGGGAAAGTGCGCAGACTAGAGCAAAGTAACAAAAATTGAGGTAATTTGATTGCCAAAACTGGGGACAAAAATTAAATCAACAAGTGAAAATCTGTTGGATTAATAGGGTGGTAGAGAATTCAATTTATAATCTTTAAGGCTATTAGAAATTGTTTCTCATCAAATGAAATCTTTCCAGTCCTTTTATTCTAACACTACACTTGAAGCATCAAATACCGAAGGAAACCACCAAGAAAGCCATGACTAAGACAAGTTTGCTAAGCAATTCTTTGCTTTGGTCGAACTGTTGCGGCTAAAAGTTCAAACAGTGCCAATTTTCTCACTCAAAAAATCGCAAATTCCCACCTGGAGAGAATTCGAGCAATAATGACGATATTGGGATTCTTACAGAAATGATAGTAATGCATTTGCACTGCACTACACTACAGAGTGGGCTTACAATATCCAATTTCCAGGTTGTTTAGTGTCTCCTGAGAGGTAAGAAAATTTGAAGCGCCTTAAATCAGAATGCAATCATCCACGTTGGCACCAGGCTCAGAGTGAATGAACCAAAGATCTCAACTCAATTATTCTTATACATCAACCCGTCCGTATAATTTGCTTACAAATGAAACCTCATATAACATATGTTTCTTTGATTTCATATTAATGTTACGAAATCGAAAAAAAGGCTAGGCAAGCAATCTCACTAATGCCCGTATAAGGTCATAATTATTTTCATGAGTATTATGTTAGGCTAAACAAAAAACAGGCCTTGTATCAAATGATGCGATTCAGACGTGCGTACTTACCGCAGTAACAGGACTTTCCATGATTATAATTCCCTCTTCATCATTTGATTCAACGGAAATTTGTGCCTTGGGAGAAGGGAGATCAAGAAATTGACTCAATTCCTTATGTCGATCACATAATTCGGGGGTCCCTAAAACATGTACAGACCGGCTATTATCACATTCATTCATATATATATATATATATATATATATATATACTTTATGAAATCAGAACTGACCCAATTCAACGTGCGTTTCGAATTGAATATTAGAACGAAGTTCCGGGTCGTAGATCAAAGGGATGTAGCTGTCAGTAAGGAGATTTTTAACACTAATATTTAACTTTTCCGGCCAAGGACTGCAAGTGGCAGAAGGCTGTATAATGAGCTTCCGTGAGCTTGGGTCAATGTTCACCAAAACCAACTTTCTGGAGGAGTTAGCTCCACGACTGGATTCTGGCTAAAGAAAAGATACCAATATTACTTAAATGGAATTAGTATGACAAGATAATTTCAAAAGCGATTGAGTCCCATTAAGCAGACGAAAGAAAAATTGAACAAATTCAGAAGTATAAAAGGAAAAACAATAAACCACCAAAATATTAAAGATTTATTAATTTATATCTTTAAAAGATCGAGCTTACAAATCTGAAACGATCGTTCCAGTAAATACTCCGAGGACCAACAGACACAAAGTTAGTGACTTCCGCGGCAGCTAAGCCAGGGTGTTTAGAAAAGACTGCTAAACGTTCTCCTTGCAGCTCCACATCTGCAGAATGGAAGTCTAGATCGAACTCTAGAGTATATCCATCATTTGAACCGATCCAGCCCTCCTGCATTTGAATTACATCCCTCCATTGTTGACCCTTAATCTCCATAAGACCGTGTTTCAAGGACTACAAGAAAAACATGGAATGAGGAAGAGGTATGGAAGGACTTAATAGCACATATTGAACAGCATTGGCTACTTCAGAGTAGGCTAAAGACCGGAAATACCACTGACGCATTGCTCGTTTCTCAACTAGAGCCCCAGAACGCCACGACCGACCTTCAGAATCAACAAGTTCGTTTGCAAGAACTGTTTTATCCACAGGATCCCAATTAACTTCTTCCAATCGTCTGTATGCTAGTCCAGCTTTGAAAAGTTTAACAAATATCCATTGAGTCCACTTGTAATAGTCGGGATTGCAAGTAGCGAATTCCCGCGACCAGTCAAGATTTAATTTCATATCGGTCAAAAGTTGTTGTTTCATGCTATCTATATTACTAAAGTGGAAATCAAGTGGACACCTCTTGTCTGGGAAATGTGAGGGTATTCTAGAAATCGCTTACGTATATGTCCATTCATCGGGAAGGACACCTTTATCGATCGCTGCGTTTTCTGCGGGAAGACCAAATGCATCCCAGCCCATTGGAAAGATAACAGCCTTTCCAATCAGATGATAGTATCTCACAAGCACATCCGTAACAGTATACACGCGAAGATGGCCCATATGCAGACGTCCCGAAGGATATGGAATCATTGCCAATATGTACACATGGTCACTCTAGAAACTATTGAACTACCTATGTCATTTACGTTTGCCTTTTGTTTATTTGAAGCTGCTTTATTGTAGTCAACCAAATTGCCCCAATTTATTTCAATGTTTCGACGAATAATATCATTTAGATCGGGCTAAAATATTATTATAGGACAAGATACTACCCAAAGTAGCTTTGAATTTACTGAAAAATACCGGCCATTGAACTTTTTTACTAATCGGGCAGCATTCCATAAACGCATGCTTTCATAGGCCACTACAATCTATTTAACATTCATTGGTTAATAATGTCTGAACCTATTACGCGCACTTTATTCAGCTACTATTAACAAATCTAGTTTTTTCATTATTTATAACACTTTGTTTCTCCAATTCATTTCATTAAAAGATCCTTTGTCTTCTCAATAGTTATAAATATGTGTATTCAACTTCACAGTTAGCAATCATTTATAGTACTTAATTATCTAACTTCACATACATTTTTCCTCATTGAACAACTTTAGCATAAAAATTTTAACTTCATTCCAGTCATTAGGAAGCGTAATTACGTTTGTCTAGATTGGGCTACTAAATCAGACTGAGAAATGTTGAACAACGTGATTTTATATCTTTAAGAGTAGATGGTAATGCGTTAAATTATGCTTTTAATTTTACTAAAGCCTAACGATCTCTGTTAAAGCACCGTAAATTCTATTTGCCGAGACCAATTGTACTAAGCAAGATAAAGGTACCTAAGTCAATCGATATTTGAACTGGCGGCACCTATTAACTACTTTCAATCATGTATTTGATCATGGAAAATCAAACGAATCCTGCATAAATGAGATTATTTCACTTTTCGCGTTAAGATATGAATATCCGTATCCACTCGCACACAACTTAGCAATGAAAACCGAGCTCTGTGGCCACCTCCAGGAAGTGCATTGTTCATCAATTATACCAAATAAAACCTTGAAAAAATATCGTAATTAAGCGGGGTCAATTTACTCACTATTTGAAGTCTTTTATAGTAATTCTAAAGGAGAAGAAATTACGAATCCGATTCTGATGCATGATATCTGTATAGCACCTTCATACCGAAACCATGAAACCTCGCGGTACAAGGAATTATCTCCCCATTCATCGCTTGAACCGATGTTGCAAACTTCATATTGCACCACACATTCAAGAAGTGAAGTCCAGCCATCTACAACCAATCACAACCCGATCCATTCTACAAAATCTTCAAAAATTGAGTCCCAGTTACAGCAATAAACCGAGTGTGCTCTCCCCAGTAAGCTTATCCTGCATCCTAGGCTGGCTTTTTCTTTCCTCACTCCGGAGTCTTAGCACAGTGGTCTGAAACCGGGTACTTGACAGCACGCAACATCGCTTTCATTTTACAACATTCTAATCTACAAGTTCGACCAACGTTCAGCGACTAAAACGACATTAAATATCGACAATAAATCTTAAGGAACAGGAAACCAGTTTCTCTAACTTTTCCCGGCTACTCAGACTCGGGCATTTCACGATAACAAAAAACGAAGAATGTTGAAACTAAATTACCTATCTATTTGTTTTTCTTCTATCATTAAAACATGCAAGGTTGCGTGTTTTTCAGGCACTAGCTACTATGGCAAAATGGAAGAAAACACAAATACAAATCTTTCTCAACTCCTTCACCTTTTTTGGATAGCCACACCACATCACTTTTAATAACATGAAGACATGATAAAAATAATCCGATATAAACCAAACCTCCCCCTCCCCACATAAACAAATGTGTTATTATAAAAGATGCATTTATCATAGAAAAATGGTACGACAAAATGGATTAACGCAACAGAATATTGAAGCACACACATAAAAGCACCAGTTCTTTCATAATAGGCGCGAAAACCGATTGCTTCCTATGCCAAGATCAAGTTGTGTTGACGACTTAGGGCTGCCAATACGTGACGCGCCTACTGTGGAATTCAAACTCGCCATATTCTTAGAAGTGAGGAATGGGCAATAGCGAATTGTGTGCGCAACATCGCCAGTTGCTGAACATAGCGGGCAGACCAAGCGCCGCAAAATTGGACACACCACACGTCCTGACCTGTCCTTGACCTAAAATGAGTAGAAAATAAAACACAAGAATTGATAATTTGAGCCTCATTAACAAGGGAAACAATCACACGAAGTCTTCGTGAAATTGACACTCTATTGCAAAATTCCCCTAAGTCATGAAGGACCACGGTAACCAAGGCTCAAGCGATGGAAGGACACTGTACTCTTTCAAAGCCATGATGCATGATATGCTTGTTCCTTTATGCGATCAAACTGAAAAGCTAGAATACCATGATTCGACAAAGAAGACACCACCCTACAGGCACCATTACTTCACACTATTTCTATTGAGCAGTATATTTCTTTCGAATCGCCGGGTTCAATGAGTATTCAGGTAATGGCTTCACGAAGTAGGGAGAGTAAAATAAATCAAGTCTCGAGAAAGACCAGACACATCCATCATAGCCGAAACCTCAACCTGAACATGTAAAAGGATGGTGAGATAACAACAATGAACTTCAAGCGAATGCACAAATGAAAGCATAGGTTTTACACCCTAATCAAGGAACTCTTGTACACAATATCCAGGTGCTCGATGTCTTGGAAAAACCAAGAGACCAGTTAAAATCTCATCTTTGAGGATACCCTCATCGGTGTCGACACTAAACCCAAGTGACTTTTGTGAACATGTCTGTAGAGGACGTGCAATGGCACATATTTCGACGTAAGTAGATTGGTGAGGAACACACCCAATAATAATAAAATAGATAACGAGCATACATAATCGATGAAGAGAACAAAAGTAACACCAATCAATTTAAGCTCTGAGAACTATCCATCATCCATCACCCATACCTCCCTAGGTTAGATTAATTTTATAAGAGTAATCACTCACCTTGTGGCTCGTATAAGTCTCATAGGTCTCGTGATTGTTTCGACAAAAGACACAAAGGTCAATAGTCGCTTCGTTCAGACGCCTAATCAGGCAGCTCACTCTTACCAGGAAGTCATCCAAGTGGCAGAGGTCAATTACGCTCATTGGAACACTTCCGCTACAGTGGAGTTTTATCCTTAAAAGAAAAAATGGGGGGGGGACTTATCGGCAGCAAAATTAACATACTGAGTTCTCAACAAAGTCCAGTATCAGCACAGACCCAGTTTCTACGATAAGGATTCTCACTCTTCCGTTCAACCTCTCGACTTCTTTCTCCCATTTCAATACTACTCCCCTCTATGATGCCCGATGTCAGCTATACGATTATTGACAACTATCAAAAAGCCCGCCATCTGATACAAATAAATAAATGATAAG